TTAAGCTTTTATTACAGTGGGGACTGTGGAGGGGAAACTTAGGAGTCACAAATGGAACTAGAGTCAGACTCTCTTCTCTTCTAGCTCTTATTACTACCCTGTTAAAAGACAGTGTCTGACAAATGCTGGAGGGGATGTGGAGAAAGAGGAACCCTATTACACTGCTGGTGGGAATGTACACTTATACAACCACTTTGGAAAGCAGTCTGGAGGGTCCTCAGAAAGCTGAAGATTGACCTCCCTTACGACCCAGTCATACCACTTCTAGGCACCTACCCTGAACAACAGGAACCAATATACAAGGACATGTGCACCTCCATGTTTATTGCAGCACTGTTCACAATAGCTAGGATATGGAAAAACCCAGATGCCCCACCACAGATGAATGGATCCAAAAATTGTGGTATCTATACACAATGGAATATTATGCAGCCATTAGAAATGACAAAATAATGGCATTTGCAGGGAAATGGATGGAGCTAGAAGGAATCGTGTTGAGCGAGGTAAGCCAAGAGCGAAGAGACAAACGATACATGGTCTCCCTGATAAGTGGATGCTAAATCCAAAATGTTAGGTGATATGACAAAACTAACAGGACTTAAGAAACAAAGAACTCCCACTCATCTGGTTGAACCACTACCAAATATCCCCATGCTGCTGATCACATGTATGGTGTATAACATGTGAACACCGTTATATGTTACAGACTGTGATAGACAATTTGCTCCAGGAAAGTTAGAATGAACTTGTGACTTTAAATGAGCATCATTATTCCACAATACTGTGAAATTCTGGAAATTATGTAATCACTTAATCACAATTAAAAAAAAAAGAACCTTGGGGAAGGGAGGGAGGGAGGGGATGGTAGGGGGAAAACAATGGAGGGGGTAACAATGTTCAAGAGGAAGTGTACTCATTACCTCACTCATGTAACTGTAACCCTCTGTATAGTATCTTTACAATAAAAAAAAAGACAGTGTCTGAGACGTGGGCTGATTGCTCAAATGGTGGTCTGACAGCTAGAGAACACATTGAGAGGTTTATTCAATGGATTATTAAAGCTTTTAGATGTGATAACCCCCCAAACCCATCCTGTTGTTTAGGAGGGCTTAACTGGTGAGTATATTGTCTCCTCTTACCAGCACCAGCCTGTGACTGTATATTCATTCCTTCCTTTGGACCAGGAGCCCACAAAGAACCAGCCCACAAGACTAAGGACTGCAGCTCAATCATTTACTGTCAGGAGAAACAATTGCTACGTGCTACACTGGGGGCAACTCTAATGTACCCTGGATACCATCTTGCTCCCTCTGGTGGCACCTTTGGCCAGAGAAAATTCACTCACTCTTTAGTTGGGATTCTCTTCCACCAAAGAGCTAGATTGAGTGGTAAGGGTTAATGTGATTCTGAAAGGTAAACAGAAAACACTTTTCCCCTTCCTAATATAGGTGGTGGATTACTAAGCCCTTGGCATACGTTATGGCAAAGATAGCGCCCATTGCGTTATGGTTTTTGTATAGGCTAATATTTATTGAGGACAATGTAACAATAATAGGTACTACTTACTGAGCACTGTTCTAAGTGCCTCATAGCAATTAACTCATTTGATTTTCACATCAGACCATTAAGGGGGCAATGGTTTTGTGTCCACTTTACAAATAAGGAAATTAAGAAAGAGAGAATTAAATAATTTGCCCAACATTGTAAGGGCCAGTAAGCTGCATCCCCAGGACTAGGAACAGTCACCTGACTCGGAGTTTTCACTCTTAATACAAATATGTAATGGAGCAAGCAACACTCTGTGGGGGTCCACGGTTAGAGAGGCTGGAGCTATTCTGGAGTGATTACTCATCTCCTCGAAGTGATAGCACACTCAGACACCCAACTAAGAATAGGTGGGATTGGGGGTTATTGAAAGCGCCTCGCTGTGAAGTTGGCATCATCTGTTCTGCAGCTAGAAGGGAGGAAGGGTTGTTCTCCGGTTGTGTGAGAGTTTTAAGAAATTCTTCACCAAGTCTTGCAGCAGCACTGGAAAGTCTCATTCTCCCCTGTCACAGCTAGCCCTTCTTACACGGTGGAAGGCACATGCGGATACCAACTGATTTCTATGTATTCAACGTTTCTTTCACAATAAAATGAAGTCAGGCACAGTGGCTCACAGGAGGCTCCCTTAGCAACTCAGGTGGTGGAGATTGAGAGGATGATGGTTTGAGATCAGCCTAGGCAAATGTTGATGAGATTCCATCTTTACCAATAAAAGTATCTGCAAGGATCCATCCCAGCCAATCAAGCTGAGTGTGGTAGTAAACACCTGTCATGCTACCTAAGTGGTAAATGTAAATGATGGTAGTGTACTCCAGGCTTACCTAGAAATGAACGCAATGCCTTATTCAAATGACTTAAGTTTTTTTTTAAGTGAGGTGGTAAAGATAGAGACAAGGCTCAAGTGGTAGCTCTCCAGCTTAGTAAGCAAAGACCCTATATTTAAACCCCAGTAGAGAAGAAGGAGGAACAATGACTGAAAGCCTAATATTGAGACCCTAATGTTTCTCCAAAAACTTTTCTAGTAGTCTCTGTCATCTTTTTCTCCCTCAGCTCTTTTGGGAAGAAATTCGGAGGTGACTCAATATATATTTTTACTAGTTTTCTTGCTTCAGTCAGTGGAAACAAGGTCCTGAATTTTCCAGAGGCATTTAACTTTAAAAAAAAAAAAGAAAGGATATGAAAAAATTCTCCATAAGAATGGGAAATCCCCAAGCCTCCATGAAACCACCATTTTACTTAATCACCAAAGGCAAAACTCTCAGAATAATTATGCAGCAGTGGTGTGTGACCATTCCCTGCCCCTTCCAAGGGATCACAAATCAGAATAGTGCATTCCTGTCAGAATGACTGGTTACTGTTTCCCCAAGTACAGGTTCATGTGCAATAACTGACCCCAGAGAAACAGAATGGCACAGTTTAAGAGCTTGTCACATTAAATGATCAGAAAACCATTACCAACTGATAGAACAGTAGATGGTGCAGAAGTGATTACAGACTTTCCCCATGGGCTAGCTACAAGCTGCTGCCTAGGCGTTAACTGGCTGCTAGACTATCCAGATTTGGGACTGGGGCTTGGTGAGCAAAGAAAAATCTACTGAGGGAGGACAGATATGAGTGGTATGTCTCTTCTCATTTCTGTAGCCCTTCAAAGTGGCTAGTGGCGTTAGGATTTTAAACAACTTTAGTTTCAATATACTTTTAAAAAATAATTTTATTGTTATTATAAAGGTGATTACAGGTAAAGTCAGGTAAACTCTTTTTGGATTCTCTCTCAGTTTTTCCATCCCTACCCATAAGTTTTATAGAACATTTTCAACATAGTATCCAGTGAGTACCACCACTACATTTGTTCATCCTTTGTCCAAAAATTATTTTAAAGATAACAATGTTTCTATGAGATTTGGTAGAAAGCAAATAGTCTAAGGTGAATTAAATCTTATTTTACTGGACTGGAAGAATTTTTTGCTTAAACACAGTCTAAGATTTTCTGATTTATTTTTCTTTTTTGGTGGGATGAAAAAAGACTTGCTTTGAATTTAAAAAAAAAAGAGAGAGCACTCTAAATTTGCCCTATAGGATATTTGTGGGAGAATATGACTAGAATCTTAAATATTACACAAAGTTGAGTTGATCCTCTGTTCTATACCTCTGTACTCATCTGTTTATACCTGAGCAGGTGTTAACTGAGCCACTTTCAGCCTGAATTGTTCTTTTCTCTCAGTGATACTGTGGGAATTTCAGCTGTAGTCATAGGAGAATGAAAGGACCAGAGGCAACAAAGCAGGAAGTGTGAACTATAATCTCTTCCAGGACCCAGCAGGGGCTAAGCACACTGAGAGAGAAATGGCCTGAAAGGGAACATGAGCAGACTACTCCTGAGCTCAAGATTCCATGTCTCCATACCTCTGCACTTCACAAAGTACCAGCCCCTTAACTCTCTGAACTTGCTCCTTTATCTGCATCTAAATGAACCAGGTGAATGGCCTTTAGAAAAGGTTATACTCTTCCATTTGGGAATCTTCCAGTGCTAAATATTCCTAAAGCCTTATGTTTGAGGCTTCATACTAATCTAAACAGGGTATATAGTTGCTGCAGATTAAAATAAACTCCTAGGAAAGGGGGAAAAAATCCCTAACTGTATTTTAGGAAATCAGAGACTTTGGAGTCTGACTACTTGGGATCTAATCCTAGATCTACCAGTTATTTATTGTGTGTGTTTTTTGTCTTTGTCAAATTGTGTAACTTCTCTAGATCCCTTGTGGGGTCCCTGAGCCTTGCTGGCTCACCCAAAGTCAGGACTAAGAAGAGCATTCTATTTTTGAAGCTGCCAGGAACGTACACTTAGTTTATCCCGCATCAGATGGCCCAAGCAGGGCTGCTGCATTTGACTTTCAAATCGGATGCTCCCAGATACAGGCCTCAAGGACCCAGAAGGTCCCTTCTCTTGGCATACCCAAAGCCAGCTGTGCTGCTGGCCAGGCTGAGAGGGTGAGGTCTCCAAGGGTAAGGACAGGTTTGTCCCTGCCTCTGCAGGTCAAGAAGGTCCTCTAAGACAGGAGCTGGAGCTGCCCTTCCTTCATTTGCATGTCTAAGTAATTACCACTCATAAAACTATCTAACCCATTAGTTAAAACTCGGCCCCAGCATTTGACTCTGACCTCCTAAGGCAGCCTGGGCCACACGCTGACTCCATGCCGCCTGATTTGTCCTCAATTTATAAGCAGCACAACCTATAAATAGAAACCCTTTTGCTAAGCCCCCAGGAGGCATCAGCAGGTTTTCCAGCTGTGTGTGTTTTCTTCTTTCTTTCTTTCTTTCTTTTTTTTTTTTATAACCAACATGGCAGGCAGACTTCTTTTCCCTGCCTGGTGTCACTCCAGTTGTTTGTTTGTTTGGAAAACTGGGCTGGCAGGGGAGAGGGAGGGCTGGGCGGGGTCCAGGTGATCTCCACTCACCTGTAGATCCTGTACCTGGTGGTGAAACCCTGGCGGTAGCGCTCCATGAAGTCTGCATACTCCTGAGCACGGTGGAAGGGGCCTCGGTCTGTGAGCAGCCAGTCCAGCGGGGGCTGGCCGGCCGAGGACGCATGCTGCTCAGGGACCACAGCCACCACTGTGGCCGAGACAGCCAGCACCCAGCCGGGCAGGCCCAGAGCAAGCAAGGCTGCCCATGGGGCGGCGGCCGGCCGAAGCCCTCTAAACCGAGAGCCACACTGCCACCTCATGCTTCTCCCAGGCGATTGGTTTCTTCATTCTCTCGCCACGCTCTCCCCCTCTGTGTTGCTCTTCCAGGGCTCTGGAACTAGAGAAGTAGGAAAGGAGATGTTACTTAGGTGTGTTGACCTTACACCCTGGGCGTTCCTATAAGCATCCAACACAACTTAAGCGGCATCTACCTAAGAATCCTTTACCCTAGCAGCTCAAGGTGGTCCCAGGCACTTAATTCACTTAATTCTTCAAACAAAGCCAGGGGGAAACACTGTTGTCATCACTTGATAGATGAGAAGGAAAGGGCTTAGAGAGGTTAGGGCAGTTGCTTATGTGCCAGACAGGAAGTGGAAAGACCCGATTGTGAACTCAAGGAATGTGGTGTAACTCAATCCGCATGCTAGGTTGCTTCCATCTTTCCTTCCTTGATTCACCCAGCCCCACTGTCTGTATTTGTCTCTTGGAAATGTTTCATATGTTCCTAGGATCACCTCCTCGACTCACTGCTGTCTCGAGAAGCTCCATAGCAGTCAAGCCACAGCTTCATTTTTTTCAAATGGAGAATTATAGGACAGAAAAGGAGCTCAGTCCCATTGTTGCTATGAAGTGGGATGAAAACTTGGGCAAATCACTTCCCTGGAGCCTCTAGAAATAAAGAGAATTGATTAATAATATCTAAGACCTCCTCTTAAGTTAAAAGTCAGGCAGGGATGAAGATAGAATGGAAAATGACATCTACATTGCCATCTTCAGAGTAGAGCTGTACCTGCGAGACAATCAGACTCTCTCCTCATCCCTCAGCAGGTAAGCACTACAAGGCCAGCACTGTGTCTCATTCTTGGATCTTTCTATCCTGGCTCCTGAGAGCATAAAGTCAGCCCTCAGACACCCTTTTTGAAGAAATGAATGAGTCTATTCCCTGCTTTGTCTGAGTTGGAGGGAAGATGCCAGGAAAGAAGTAAGATTTGAGACTTTCCATTTCCTGGCTGCCTTGTGACTCATCACAGACCTCTGATTTCCAGTGCCTGCACTTTGTCTAAGGACAACTAGTCACTGTTATTAACCTCTAGGCAGGAACTTGGGATCCTTCAATACTGTGGGACTTCCCAGAATTGGAATCCTTTCTTCAGTCCTTGTTTTATAGCATACACTCTCGGAGTCCTGCCCATGTCCCCTCCCTGCCAGCACCACTTTAGCATGTGCCAGAATAACTTCCAACTCCCAGTACCTGTAATTCACCACATGAGGATTTTCTATGGCTGCCAAAGCCCAGATAGAGGCTGTCTAGGATGATGAGTGTTAATTCCCTGGCACTTTCAGACTCACATAAAGGCGGGCAAAGTGGGCTTCAACACCAATTCGCACACCTTTTCCAAGGCCCCCAGGGCAGTCAAAGATGGTTCTAGCTCACTAAGCCACAAGATTTCTTTAAAGCCAGAGAACCCTGGAGGGACTGCACAGAGGCTGAAACTGAGTCCAAATCCTAGAACTCTCCACTCCAAAGTAGATTGAAATCTGCAACATTTGTAGAGGATACTTTTGAGAGTCCTTGCTCACAAGGATGGAAGGATAAAGGATGAGAGGCTGGACATTCAGACTAATCCCTCCCCTCCAGCTGATAGGCACTGACGTCCTACAATGTGCTGAGTGATGCTCAGATGCTTAGAGACTCACAGTGAGTTTGTTTTTATAGGGCATTCTTATGAGTTTCCATTTTTACTGGGACTCAGTGGAGCTGAGCTGGGCAAAGGCAGAGGCAGAAATGTAAACCTAGATTTGGCTCCACGTTCAGATCTTGCAAAAGAATGCTGTGCTGTCTGGAGAGAGCTAGAGCAAGCAGTTAGACAGACCTGGGCTTAATGAACTTGCTGAGAGAGGGCACTGAAGAAATAATGAGTCGGCACCTGCCACCCCTCAGATCTTAAAACAGGATACAATTCTCGTAATTAAAATAGGTGGTACTGGCTCACAAATTGGACAGGCAGATCAATGAACCAAGACAGCCCAGAAATAAACCTTATATGTAAGAACTTCGTATATGAACAAGAGAATCTCGGACTAATTGAGTAGGGATGGGATATTTTACACATAATATTAGGAACTTAGTTCCACTTGGATTAAGAAGTTAAGTATAAAAACAAAACCATAGAAAGAAGGAAAATTCCCCAGTGTTTTATAGAAAGCATGTATTACCAGGGGGGAAAAAGTGATTTGAAATTAAGAGGAGGAATGGTCCTTGTGCATGAAGAGAGTAGGCATTTTTATATAAATGCAATTTGATAAGGATGCCCAAAATATTTCTCCTTTAATCATTCGCATATTCATCTATTGAAGAAATGTAAATTGAGGAGGCCTAAGTGCCAGACACTAGGCGAAGTAATGAAACACAAAAACAAGTGTTCATTACATTACCTGGAACTCTACCATTAGTGATTAATTTCTCTTATAAAACATCTCTGCGTTTTTCAAAGGCGTATTGATGGAAGAAAGAATATTCACTTGGGAGATGGTGGCTGCTTGGTGCTGGAGGCCAGGGAGCAATCATTGTGAGGTGGAAAGCCACATCAGGATTCTAAATAGGTCTTCCAAGATACTCATGTCTTTCTGTGTATGTCTTAGTTAAACCCTGTCCCTTGAATGTGTCTGGCAAATACCTTTGAATATGAGAGGAAATCACCGCCCCCCCCCCATCGGAGTACCAATCAGTTGAACTTTTGTTTGAGATCTGAAGAATGTGGAATGCATTCAAGTCCACATAGACAATCACTTAGATGGTAAGGACAAAGACTTATAAATAACTTGGGGCAATAGCCCAGATGAGTCTTCACTTTCCATGGGGATGGGGTGGGAAGAGGAAAGCCAAGTAGCTCTTCTATAAACTCCTGTGGGTTCCATGTGGCAAGGAATTGAGAGTAGCCTCTAGGAGCTGTGAACAATCTCACTTACTATTCAACCAAGAAATCGGAACCTCAGTTTCGTGAGAAGAGTGCTACTGAGTTTCAACCCCAACTCACCCCTAACTACACTCTCCTACCCATGAAGGTTCAGAGGTCACGTCTCTACTTTTTGTCATCTGGACATCAAGTCAGTCCTTACATATATCTGGTGGAATTCCATGGTTTTAGCCAGCCCCGAGCCTCTGGTAGACTGGCCTCCAAGGCTTCCAATGAGATGGTAACCTCCCTTTACCTGTCAAGGGAAAGTTTCCTAAGGACAGGTAAGCAGATATGCAGAAAGCTGTGTGCTCCTTGGAAGAAGCAACTATATTAAGGGTGCTTCTTGTCATTTTTTGTTTGTAATTATGCTTTTTCAGAGCTCACAATGTGCTGGAACCTGCCTAGTTATAGGAATATCAGCCTTAGAATCAAATGGTTTTGATTGCTGGGCCAAGTCTGCTGAGCACAGCAAGAATGACTGAATTCAGTGCTCACTGCGCCTCTGAAAAACCTGGCCTGGGAATCACATGGTTTCCGCTTCGCTGCTTTTCCTCAAGATCCAAAGACATTTTGACTTAAAAAAAATCTCTTTTTTTTTAAGAAATAAGAGTTTTAAGTAAGCTTCAAAACTTTCTTTAAAAAAATTCCTTGGAACATATTCCTTCACCTTAAAGAATAGAAATAATAGTTGCTATGTTGACAGTTATTTAAAAACCTGACTTTTGAAGGGGAAGAGAGAGCTTTTGGTCACTTCCTGTTTATTCTGCATGGTGAGATCGCTCAAAATTTTGTAATAGCAACCTGTCAAGCAAATTTCAATGTCTAAATTCTGCAGCTTCTCGTGGTACTGCTAACAGGCAGCAGTATAAAACAATTAGCATCATGCTTCTTTTTTTTCCTTCTTGTCCTAAGGCTGGCTATACAAGCAAATCTTGGTGTTATAAGTCTGTATATTGACACAGCAGTTGAACTAGTTCCTCTGTTTTTTTAAAAACCCATTATAAATTTATCTTTGAAAGCCAAATCATTTCCTTTTACTTTCACCATACTTAAGTCAGTTTTACACCTAGACAAATAGTAAACTGGCTTTGCACCAAAGGTACAAGTAAAACAAGTCATGGGTTTCTTTGGCTGAGTGCATTAGCTCAAATCTATTCTTTAAGCCATAAATTAAATGGGTCACAGTTTGGTCAATAGAAAAAATCAAGTATAGATGAGGCCACATGAAAACAGGCAATGCAATCTTCATAATAGTCACGCCTGTAAGAATCATGTCTCTTACCACTCTGAGAACTTAGCATCGGGGGTCAGGAGGTGGGGTGGGGATGGAGGCTCTTTTGTGCCTTCCTGGTGACTTTATCCTCTATCAAAAAGATAGAGCAATTAGGATTTGAGGCATCTGTGTAAAGTCTTGACAAATGAAATAGAAAATTTCCACAGGGGAAATTGTTGTAGAGGGGGAAGGGTTAAAGCCTGGCGGAGTTTAGTGTATGGCTAAGCTATGCGTGTGCAAGTATTATAATTAATCAAGTTGCTAATCATGCCATTGTCAATAAATACCAGTGGAAGTCTTGTGACACAGGAACAATACAATGGTCCCTTTTCGCAGGTGAGAGCATTGAGATCAGGAGTGGGGAGCAAAGGGCACAGGAACTCCTATCACAGAGGCACATCTAGGTTTACCTGTCCCTCACTTCCTCGATTCCACGACTTACAGTTATGATGAAAAAGAGTTGCTTTGCTATTTACAAGTTGATGCCCTTAGATGAGACCCTTCCCCATGGGACCCACATCTTAGCCAGCAGGAAAATGATTTGAGGTGAGATGATTCCACCATTGTTCTCAATGCTGGAATCCCGTCATTCTATGCAAATGTAAAGGACCCGGGTATAACAGGAAAAGCATTCAATGTTTAGTCTTCTTTGGAAGGCAGCTCTGTGTTTCAGGAAGAACGGAGTGGAAGAGAAGTGGGGTATAAAGCAGAATTTTTTTTTTCTGCTGGGGCAGTGACATTTCCTAAAGTGATTAGGCAGTGACATTAAATAAGTTTTCAAGCCATTTAAGTGGTTAATTGGCCAACTCTGTTGAGGAGATGTTTTTCTTGAATAAATCTGAGAGTGTCAGTTGAAAAAAAATCACAGAAGTGTTATTT